CATGTTATGTTATATTAATCCTTTCTCATACTTTGCAGTCTTATCAATGCATTAAGTCATAACCAACGTCATGTACTCCCAATAATACGTGGATGATCTGGCCCAGGGAGCTTACTGTAACCGCCTTGAGCTGGTCCCAGACCTACAGAGTTATGTCCCCTGATCGTGAACTTTTCCGCGAATATCCGATTCACTGTGTAGAGCATCGCTACACTGACAAAAGAAGTCTTCCAATGACCATGATTTAGGAGGTAGATCTAGATTTAGATTAATCTGATGGTTGCACTGTATTCCATACTTGTGATAAGTACTTTTTTGTTTACTTATTCATCGCCTGCTGTCGTTAAGTGTCGAGGGGAGATGCAGTTTTTCTATGGTAGGCCAGCTCAGCAGCTCTTTCAGTTGGGATATTAGAGTGATAAGTAAGTTCTTTTAAATTGATAAGGAGGATAAAACTATATTATTGTCAAGGGTACAGTGTCGCTACCCCATGCAATCCACCTAAATCCAAATTTTGAGAATTTCCTATTTTTACACACTCTGAAGGCTCTATCAAACAGATACGCCCTTCAACATCACAAACATGCACTTGAATGCTATGGTCAATTCTTACAATATTTTACTTTTCGTGATTCTTGATAGGAACATTACATCAAGAATTAGTTGATATTTTGTTTGTGTGTCTTTGAAAAAAGAAGTATTTAAACGAAGTTAAGTGGGTTGCTCATCGCACCGACAACAGTTAGTGAAAAATTGGTCGCTTTTAAGGACAAGCAGGCTACCCCAGATTTCGGGGGTTTCCATAAATCTTGACCTACACCAAAACTGGGCATTGCCCTACCTATAGGAGAAGTTTGGTTTCATTGGTGTGTATGATTTTTTGGCTATTGAGAAAACTGAAAAAAGGGACAAACACTTTACCCTCGATTTTCTCTAAACAGCATTTTTTTTTCAGGATAGCCCGCTTGTGCTTCACCCTATCCGTACGCCCCGGGGTCATTTTGTACCCCCGTGGTTGTATTCTTCACATTTTACAATACTTCCAATACAAAGATCTCTTTGAAACTTTTAATGCTATGCAAAGCGTATGGATTGGATTAACGAGTAAATTTCCTCTTTGAAAGTGGTTGGACAGAGTTCCCCACGTTGTGTGGATACGATAGTAAAACACAACGTGCGGGTAAGATTAAGTGGTGGCACAGAGTTCCCCACGTTGAATGGATACGACAGTAAAACACGACGTACGGGTAGAGTTAAGTCGTGGGACAGAGTTCCCCACGTCGTATGGATACGATAGTAAAGCAGGACGTACATGATTAAGGCTACCGGTATCGTAATCGTGAGGTCACGCGGTCGGGGTTTGAGCCGCGGGCCCGACGTTGTGTCCTTGGGAAAGGCACTTTACAAAAATGTTCCTCACTTCACCCAGGTGGGAATGGGTACCCGGCCAAAGACAGCGAAAAATCTTGTCAGTATGTTAGTGTTTTAGCGTTTATAAACAGCCGCTTGCACTGTATGCTTCCCAGGAAGTTGAGGTTCTTTCAGAATGCTCCTAGGTCTGCTGGGGTAATAGTATAGATTGTGAAGCGCATAGAACTTGTTGTTGAGCGGGGATTTGCGCTATACAAATGCTATCTATTATTATCATGGGGTTAAAAGCGACCAGTTATAGATTCGCGTGACCCACTTCCGTTAACTCCATTACAGGTTTGGTCGGAGACCCACAACAGCCTTGACCTTCGTGCTCCTAAGCGGGGGCCTCCTTGTCCGAGGCATTTTGAGGTCCTTAGATGGTGAGTCATCAATGCCAACTTGTTTATGGTACAGTCTGTGATGTTCAGTGTTGCCAGTATCTGACTGCCTTGGGGCAGTGGGAATCACGCGGCATGCGTGAAATAACTTATAAAATGATTTGTTTTGTTTGGGATTTGTAAATTATTTAATTTTTTAATTTTTTAATTTTA